AATAACAAAGAGGGCTAATCTGGAGTGGCAACCCTCTGCACTTTTACTGGGAAGTCAGTCCTATTGAACTCAGGAGACCTCTGGGTTTACACAATTATACTGAGTAGCTGTACTTTGCCACCAAATAATGCCAACTGTCTTAATTAAAAAGCAATAATTTGGTGAAATAGTGATTTTTTCTGTTTTAACTTTACTGTTACAGGTTGCACAAGCTGTACTTTATAAAGTAGTTTCTGTATGCAGTTCTATAAATATAAAACATTTAGCCAGATCCGCCCAACATTATTGTGGAAATTACATGTGTTCTTAATGGTTTCTGCATAGAAATAAACCTCAGTGTCAAACTGCAGAATTAGGATTCATTGGGAAACTTGACAGTATCCAATTAAGGCTCAGTCAGGACAATGAATTCCTATCACTTACACTGCAAGTGTTAAGGAAGCTGAATTTAGTCTAAGAAGAATGTGTTATCAGCATCAATTACTGCTGTTAATAGTTTCTGTGCTCCCTTCATATACAGCTGATAACACTTCAAGCAATGAAGTGGGCTCTCTTGCCCATGAGAATTCTTATGTCATAATAAATTTGCTAGTCTTTAAGGTGCCTGTCAAACCTGTAGGGCCAGGGGCTGCTTATTCACCTAGGCATTCCATAATTTCCCAGCCTCTCCAATAAAATGCAGCCAAAAGGAAGCCCATTAAGGCTGTGATTTATTGCACAGTTTGTTTGCAATAATAGAGTCTCAGGTTCACATTATCTGATCACAGCCTGATGGACATCACAGCCTCCACCAGTCCCTGTCAGGGCCTTGGTCCTGCTCTCAGGATTCCTTACTTGCTGCCTCTAGCCACTGCACCTTTACTATAAGTTTAGACATTAAGGTAGATAGGTTCCAAACAAATAACCTGCTGTTCTTCTGGCCTCAAATGTCACCTCCCTGTTCCATGGGTGCGCCTGGTCCTTCTGTCCTCCAGGGCCCCAGGCCTTGCTGTCATTACCAGTGTCAGCTAGCTGGTTCTCCTCTCTCATCTTCCTTCTCTGGCCTTTTATTCCCCTTCCTCTTTCCACACCTATTCTCTGGCATGATCTACACTTGATTAGGCCTTTACTTTACTCCTGAGGCAGACTTTATCCCCAAGGACCCTGATACTGGCAGTCTTTGCCCCTACTTGCCGTTTAGGGGCCCAGTCCTGCCTACCCATTAGCTAACATGCAGCCTCCTACTCCTCCTGTTAGCTAACATGCAGCCTCTCTTGGGGCTGTTCCCAGGCTTCTCCACTTCACATACTGACCTGGGACACCATGGAGTGTGTGACAGAGCCACAAGAGGCTTTTTTTGGTCGTATTAGATTGTATTTATGAGGGACTTTAACAATTAATCTTTATTTAGAGATTTGACATCACTGTAACATTGGAATATCATCATTCACACATTGGAGTAACCTCAGGACTTGTAGCATGGCTACACTAGACATTTGTTTCATGATGCAGCAAGTTTTAGGAACAATCCATAAGGATGCAGCTGGTCCATTAAAACTGGTAAAGTTTCAAGGGAAGAGGAACTTCAAAATAATTTGTTCTTAACCTGACCTTTCTGAAAGGCTGTAATCTTAAATATATTCAGTGCTGGGAATAGATTTGGGGGCTTCAGGCTCTTTAAAACATAGCTGGCAAGTTAAACCATGGTTTTCCTTGCAATCTGTTTTTGTGTGTGTTTGTTTTCTCTGTGACTCAAGAGAAGTTACAGCTCTGTACCTATCCATAGTATAGCCTGCACTACCTTCAGGTTGATTTCTCTTCTGAGGCAGCAGTACAGCTTTGGCCTCTTGAGCTAGGAGCCAAATCCTTCTGCTAGAACAGTTTTCTTTTTGAAGCAGAACATTTATAGATTAGGGCAGTCTAATTAGGAAATGTCACCTCCTCTCAGCAAGACCAGACTTCAATTAGTTCAGGATAATAGGTATTTAAAAAAAACCCCAACAATGGACACATTTGAGTTTTATGCTATAGTACTGTAGCATTAAGACCACTTACATATTGGACATCAAATGCAAGCACAAAGAGACATATCCTAAAAGTGGTGACTTCTGCATCTTAAAAATTCATGAATAGTACAGCCATCTGACATACCAACATTTTAAACTGCAAGCTTGAAGTTGGTTACTGCAATCACAAATGACATATGAGTATTTACTTTCATCGTCTTTGTCTGAGCTCAAGATTCTGTGTGTTTGCACTAGATCCTGTTACAACTTTAATTTGAATAAAAACTGGGGATAAAAACTTCTAGCTGTTGACCACTCCCACCTGCAATCTGGAGTCAAGAGTTCGCTGATTTCAGCAAAAGTGTCTGAATTGCCATAAATCCTTATACTTCAGCAACAAACATCTTACAGTTTGATTTGGAATTCTCAGTGATTCAAATTTTCTAAGTGCATTTACTTGGAAAGATGTCCCATTCAGAGGCAAATCATTTTATAATCCATAGTAACTTTGCCAGTCTACCCTTCCAGATGTTTGCTTTTACCTTCTAATGGCACAAGGTGGCACCAGTCCATGGGATGTCAGATAAGGAGACTTAAAAGTGACCCAGTTCTTCTGCTGCATCCCCTACACCTAGTAAGTACTGTAAGCTTAGGTCAGCAGCATTCACTAAATAGCTGTGTACAGATCAGTTTGTTGGGGTTTCCCCCTATTTACTTGGCCTTTTAAAGCCTTGGCATTTATAATAGCCTTTTAAATGTTGGTTCCCAGATCTGCAGCCTTACATTCAACAGTATCCACAAGTATGAATTCTCACTGATACAAGGATTTCCAAGAAATGTGGCTGTGTCTTTAAAGGTAACAAACAGGGCTCTTGATTGGTGCCCCCAGGAGCTAGGCAAAATGACACTGGGAAAGTTTCTTCCACAAAGCACTCTCAAGGGTATCCTTCAACCCTCAGCCTTTTCAGCTCTCTGAAGAAAGGATACAAGGGTTTCCAAGAAATGTGGCTGTGTCTTTAAAGGTAACAAACAGGGCTCTTGATTGGTGCCCCCAGGAGCTAGGCAAAATGACACTGGGAAAGTTTCTTCCACAAAGCACTCTCAAGGGTATCCTTCAACCCTCGGCCTTTTCAGCTCTTTCTGAAGAAAGCTGCAGTCCCAATTCATACAATACCATATTGTATCTGTGACAGCAAAGAGGCACTAGAATTATAGCCAGACCACCAAACCTGTAAACTAAAACGGATTTCATTTCATAAGTGTTCCAATCTACAGCAAATAAAGAAGAGGGAAACCACTTTTGGAATTCTGAATCATAAGATCTACAACAATGAGCACACTGTGAACTAGTTGGGATCATTAAGATTATTTATTTTCTTGAAGTGAACAGCCTGTAACTGCATTTTCATTCAATGTCTCCTCTATATTTTTCTTAGGGCCCCTGGCTGAGAATTTGCAGTAATTTTCACACAAGTGGGAAACGGAGGGAGAAGAAGATTCTCCCTGAATTCTTGCTATGTGTGTATGTGACAGAAAGTGTGAACACATTTATGTGCTTTACAATTCTTGAACATTTATTTACACACTTAGTTCTGAATCCTGTAAGACATCTTTTGCATGGGATCAGAGGAAGGAGAGAGTAGCATTACCAATGGCTGTGTGTCTGTGTGAGTGTTTTAAGTTATATCACACAGTTTCTTGGGCATTCAAACTTGCCTGAAAATTTGCTAGAATAATACACTATCCAGTATTATTTGTATACAGGATGAAAGGAAGCCGAAGAATGCATTGCTTCAACTTATTTAATTTCACTAAACTGCATTTTTAATTTTAAAAATTTAAATATCAAGACATTTAGGTATTGTTCATATCACTCATCTGTTCACCTAGTAATTACAGCACATTGTTTAAAAATAAAAAACACCAAAAAAAGAAAAAAGGCTATATTGTACAGTTTCACTGGCTCCTATTTTTGGAAAGGCTGTTATAAATGTTGCCATACTTCTCAGAATTTCCTTGGAGCAACAGAATAGATTTGTCCATTGGCACACTCATAGATTCAGACACAAAACAATATTTTTTTCCAAAATGTCTTCTTTTTTATATATATCTGTACTTTTTTAAAAAAAAAAGAACACCCAACCACTTATTAAACTTTCAGCATTTTTGTGAAAGAGCACAATTATTTGGCAAAAAAGGATGTAAAAGAAGACTTTTGATGTATAAAACTCCTCTCTGGTAGAAGAAACACTGACCGCAATTTGGCCTAGTCTGTATTTAATAATTCCTTTCATTTATCTTTTTTTGCTGCATATTTTGAAGGTCTAAACAGCAAAAAGAGCTACAGGTTGGATAGGAACTCACAGAACTCTTCTGCTCTATCAACTCCTCTAACAGGCAGAATATTCATGATTAACTATGATCCAAAGACAACATGTGTACTTAGTATGTACTTTGTATCTGCTGCAAGTTGTTTTCTTTTGTATACATGATCCATGTCTATATGCATCTACTGACTGCATCGGGACATCGTTAAGGATTGTAAGGATCAATATTTGTAAGTATGTCAGTTCTCTAGCCTCTTAGGAGGAAAAGAACCACAACACGAGCCTTCTCTCCCACTCAACCAGCTCTGCATCTTCCTGACATTGAATGGTTTCTAAGACAGCAAAGACAACGATCCGTCTCTTACACAGAATAGGATAGTTCTACCAGCTTACGAAAAATAAATTAAACACATAGAATGAACCAGTGATGTGGTGATAGTAGTGAAAACATTTCCATACAGTTTAAAACCTCACCATATAGGGAGGCCTTGCACATTCCAAAACATTTAACTTTTATTTTTTTGCAAAAAAATGTGTGTAGGCAGCTGAAGGGATCTGTGAACATACTTCATATTTCTCCCTTCCATGACTGGGTCTTCCAAATGCTGCCCTGGTATTTCCATTGTGAGGACAGGCAGCTAGCCTCTTTTGCATCACCTTGAGAAACCAAACACGTTTGCAAGGCTCCTTAGCAAAGGCCAATGTACTTGAGATTGTTCTGGATGATGACATCTGTCACCGCATCAAAAACAAACTGGATATTACTGGTATCCGTAGCACAAGTGAAATGCGAATAGATCTCCTTGGTCTCCTTGTTGCGATTCAAGTCCTCAAACTGCCTTTGGATATAGACAGCTGCCTCCTCATAAGTGTTTTGGCCTTTGTACTCAGGAAAACAAACTGTTAGCGGGATTCGGCGAATTTTTTCTGCCAGCAGATCCTTCTTATTCAGAAAGAGGATGAGGGAGGTGTTGATAAACCAGTTGTTGTTGCAAATGGAGTCAAAAAGGCGAAGACTCTCTGCCATTCGGCTCTGTAGAAAGAACAGAAACGTCAGCAACAGTCTTCCAGACACAACACAGAATGAACTGAATAAGCCACAACCTTGTTAGTGAACAAAGTCTTAGGTCTCAGACGGACAGCCATGCTAGTCTCTTGCAGTAAAAGTAAACATGAGTCCAGTGGCACCTTAAAGACCAACAACATTTGATTCTAGCATAACCTTTCACAGACTAGAGCCCACTTTTTCATCTACTGTGCTCATTAGTGAGACCTTCTGTGTAGGCAGTATGAAAAAACAGACAGTAGCGTCAAGGAGCTACCGGTATAAAATGTAGGAAGGACAGGGTGAAATGCAAGTCAAATGAGCACTGCCTGGTCCATGAAAACGTATGCTGGAATAAAATTCTGTTAGTCTTTAAGATGTTACTGGACTCCTGATTAAAGTCTTATATGTTTCTCACCTGACCTACACTGAAAATGATTTTTTTTAATTACCAAACAAATCACAAATCAAGATAGGTTGGATTTTTTCTCTGCTATAAAGATAAAAGAGTCTGAAGGTTTTAAACACCAGTTATGGTACTGAGATTATTCACATTAGTACACATTTGCCACTCTGAGGCTTATCATCATCTATAAAGCTACTAGGCTGGAATATTGCAGGCTGGTCCTCTAGGTCCTCATGTAAGGAAACTTGGTCCCTTCTATGATATCATTTTTATCCCACTTAGTACACACTTGTATTACAAAGAAAGCAAATCGGGCAAATTCAGATCAATTAGATTTAGAAATCATTACTAATAATGAATATTCAGAATTTAAAATACTAAATCTTCAGAGCACATCCCAGGATTTATTTTCCTTCAGGAAAATAGTTACATTTCAAACTAACAATTCTAATAATTTTAAACAGAAAGAGAAGTCCTTATTACTAGTCTTTATAGGAAATATAGCTTTGCCACAAAATACTACCGTGTTTCCCCAAAAATAAGTCTTATATTTATTTTTTCTCAAGAAAACACACTAGGGATTATACCACAAATGCATAGAAATCTTGCTAGGGCTTATTTTTGGGGTAGGTCTTATTTTCGGGGAAACAGGGTATACATGTTGGCTTAAAGTGACTTCAGTACATATGCCAAATCTATGCATCTGCTTTGAACATAGCTAGTTATGCCAAAACCAGACATAAAAAGAAATCTACTGATGATATTTATCTGCTGGTATTTGGATCTGTGGCTTAACTGTAGCTATTATAAGTAACTGCCTAATATTTGTTTAATTATACCTGTTATAAGTAGTACCTGCCTTTTTTGGATCTGACAAAGTGAGTTTTGACACATGAAAGCTTATACCCTGGAAAATCTTGTTGGTCTTTATGGTACTATTGGACTTCAATTTTGTTCTGCCTAATATTTAACTAAATCTTGCAGTTTACTAACAAGATGCTGATCTATCCTATTACCAGAAACATGAATCCTTCACATTTTCCTAGCAGCAATTCTTTATGCAAACATTACTTTTCTTGTTGCCCCTTCATAGAATTCCCTTCCCTAGACTGAATATTCCAAGTGTCGTACATTTCCTTGTGTGCCTCTCATTTGCAACACACAGTATTTAGAGGAATGAGCATTCAAGGTTATTCTTATTATGCAGCATCAATATTTAGATCCCATTAGGGAGCTGCAGATGTTTATTACCTAAGCACGCACTCACTTCCTGCTTGAGAGGATGCAATGATGTCAACACCGTATGGCAACCTGTTTTCATGTATGGATCCAAGGAACTACATCTTTGTTCCACATGCCCAAAGTGTTTATCAACAGCCCCCTTTTGAAACTGAGAGGTGTTTCAGAAGCATGTCTGTGATATGGCAGGGGAGAAGGCTTGCCATTCAAAGGGAAAACGCTTGGTGTGCCCAAGCTGCTGAGAATGCCCTTGAGAATGCTCTTTGGATTCCAGCCACAATATATTGCTGTAAGCTCCTTATGCATCATATAACACAGTTTTGAATTGATTTTTTGTCTTCCCTTATATAGCATTAGGAGAATAGAGAGACTTTTCCCCTTGAGAACCCCATACTGTTTTATTAGTCACTGGCATCAATTTGATATTTTTATGTATTAAGAAGAGCATGATTTAGCAAAAAGGCAAGTTAAAAGTGACACCTAAACTCAGTATTCACTGAAAATGGACCAGACTAGACAAGCTTTGAATGATAGGACAGTAATTTTCAAAATATCAGTTCCATGTGCCGGCCACACTGGCTCTTCGGCTTTGAAACGGAGATGAGCACCGCAACCCTAGGAACCTTTACCTTTTTTTAATCTCTGAACTGAGGGCCTTTTAAAATACTACAGCTTTCCTTCTGATATTCACATGTGCTGATTTATATACAGTTTTCATGCTTTTCTTTCCAGTGTACAACATTTATAATATTTCAAGCAGTCTGCACAGCTCTTAAGCATTCAGTGAATGCACTCGAGTATTGAGAAGCATCCATCTAAATTTTAGTGTTCCTAGAAAGGGTTCACATGGAGCTGTCCATGGTACCCAATTGGAACACAGCTTTCATGCAGAGTTTAAAATTACAAGTTCTAAAAATATTTGTGCTAATTATTCTAAAAGAAGAGAGAGAAGTCTTCCAACCAGCAATACTTGTGCTGAAGATCAAGTTTTTCATCAACATTCTTCAAGTGGTCATTGCATCTGTTTATCTGCAGAAAACTTTAACTGTATTGTCAAGCACTGCAGCTCCAAGGGTAACAATATTAAAAATCTCAATGTTAACTGCATATGGGGAAGTATGTTTGAGCTGTCTGTGGAAAGCACAACTCTAGTAAAACTCTATTAGCAGGCAAAGTATAAATATTTTAAATAAGTTAATAATGCCTTTGAGCACAATCCAGCCATGGTGAGGTACTTTGTCCCATTTATTTAAGTGAGGGGATTAAGCAAATAGTTAATGGGATTTAAAAGTGAACTGGAAAGCAAAAACGAGGCTGTCTGAATTTCCTCAGCACTTTCAAACTATTGTAGTTAATTTCTATAGGTACATCTCTTTTGTGATATAATACTGATTTTAAAAAACCCAGTAAGTCATTAGAGGGATAAAGTCCATATGGTTTGCAGGTTGTTAGCAGAGCTGTCCAACTCCTAGGACTCCATCTTGAGGACCTGTTCTTTAAAAATTATCTTCTCCTTGTGAATTTCCTAAGTGCAAGTCTAAAAGCAAGCCACCAGTGTAATGGTAGAATCTAAAATCTGGGTAGATTTCAGAGTGTGGCGCTGGGGGACTGCTGCTTTGCCCCTTGGCCTTTGACCTATGGGGTTCCCCAAGGTTCCATCTTGCCCCCATACTTTTCAACATCTATGTAAAGCTGCTTGGAAAGGTCATCTTTCAACATCTATGTAAAGCTGCTTGGAATTTGGGCTGAGCTGCCAGATATTTGGGCTGAGCTGCCGCCAACATACAGGTGACACTCAGCTGTATCTCACGCAACCAGCAGATCCTAGGGAGGCTGTGCAAACCATGAACAGGTACCTGGAGGCAGGTTTGGAATGGATGAGGGCTAAGAAGCTTAAACTTAATCCTGACAAAATTAACACTCTTGAACTATAAGAAAGAGAATAATTAGTAACCGTAAGAACAGAAATCATAGGACAGGAAGAGTGAAGAATGATGATGACTTTGGGAGGGACAAGATGTCCTCCTTTCCTCAGAGGAGAAGGACCTTTCATGGAAAGTATCCAATGGTCCATTCTCCTTTTGAGGCAGAGGACATCTTGGTGGGACCTCCCAAAGCAGTGTCCTTATTCTCTGGGTGGGTCATCATCTTCTGTATCTAAGATGTGTTGTAGTACTCTTCTGCCAAACACTGCATCTGCTGAGTTGTAGGTGTTCATCTTGTAGTGTCTAATGAAAGTTGATAATTGTTGACGAAGTGGCTGCCTTGCAGACCTCTTCAGCTATAGCATGTCTTGCAAAGGCTGTGTTGGTTGCAGCACTTTGAACTGAATGGGCGGTGATCCCATTCAGTATGGGTAACTATTGAACGTTGTATGCTTCAGTAATGTAAGACTTGAGAGTGATGGCTCATCTTGACATCTTCAGTCCTTTATTAGGTGGAGAGGTTGAAACTGAATAATGAATCCATTTTCCTAATATGTTCTGTCCTGCAAATAAAGGTCTTTAGTGTGTGTCTTAAGTCCAATGTATGCCATAGCCTTTCTTTAGGATGAATAGGATTTGGGCAAAAGGATGGAAGGCAGATCTCCTGAGTTATGTGGAAAGTGGAATATACCTTCAGTTTGAAAGTAGGGTCTTATCTGCCTGACTACTTTGTCCTTATGGAAGATGTAGAGTCCAGGGTTAACTGATAACGCTCATAGTTCAGACACCCTCCTTGCTGACATTGTTGTTGTTGTTGTTCAGTCGCACAGTCGAATCCGACTCTTCGTGACCCCATGGACCAGATTACGCCAGGCCTTCTGATATTCCGCCGTCCTCTGAAGTTTGCTCAACTTCATGTTCGTTGCATCTATGACACTGTCTAACTATAAGAAATAAGGTTTTCATCCTCCACCATTTAAGAGGAATTTCTCTGATGGGTTTGAAGGGATATTTATTGAGAACTGACAGCACAGTATGCAATCTCCATGTTGGGAATCTATACATTTGTGGTGGGTCTTTAAAGGCAGCACCCTTAAGAAAACATCAAATATGTGGGTGTCTGGTCTCAGTGGATGGACTCTTTTCTTTCAGCACCACCTAAAAAAGGCCTTCCAAGATAAGTTATAAATTCTATTAGTGGATTGCTTTCTAGAAGTTAGTAAGGTGTCTATTACTTCCATTGAATAGCCTACCCTTAAGAAGTTATCCCACTCAATCTCCAGATGGTTAAATAAAGCCACTCTGACCTTTAAAGCCTTGCACAGCCTGGGACCAACATAGCTTAAGGACTGCCTTCTCCCATAGGAACCTACCCATACACTCCGGTCATCTTCAGAGGCCTTGCTTCGGTTGCCCCT